GCAAGTGATGTTTGTTGGTTTATTGTATGCACATTCAACTATATCTGGTTGGTGGTTTACCTACCTCTCTGAAAAATGATGGAGTTCGTCAGTTGGGATGATGACATTCCCAACTGAATGGAACCATAAAAAAATGGTTCCAAAGCACCAACCAAATATGGTTCAAGTATACGTTAAATACAGCGATATCTAACATCAATCCTGGCGATGTTTATCAGTTAAACTTTACCAACTGAGCGGTTCCAAATCCTGAATGCCACCTCCTATGCGAGTTGTGAAGATGGTATATCTGATAAACCAACAGGTTTTTTTTGGGCACCATAATTTCTATGTCATAATTGCGAACAGAACAAACACAAGATCTACGGAGAACACGCAGTTTCACTAACAGCTGGGATATTGCTGATGCGAACCTGGTGCGTAAACCCTGCGCCAACCATCACGATTTTTTGTTGTTTCCGATGGTTTCCTGTTCCAAACCATGCAAAAGAGCTATGAAAGTCACACCTGAAAATCGAGGATATGAATCATTTCTGGTAATCACAAACAAAACGGACACATATGCATATACAGTATATGACATCTTTCAATCATATGCATATACATATATATATATAGACTACTTGGTAATCACGAACAATCCGGACAGTCACTTCTCAACATCATACCTGTGTAACCTAAGATTTTTCAATATGAAACCAGTTCTGATTCCAGGTCATCTGGGTCCAAATTGGGCGGATGGAATCCACCAAAATGGCTCGGTGTTTGTTGTGCATAAGCCCTGCCTAGAGCCTACTTTTTTCACACAACAACACATTGAAAAAACCAAACAATAAGAAATTTATTACGTTTCGAAATATGTATCCAAGAATATCTTAACATGCAAACACGCATATATATACACATACACACATTCAAATAGCAAATAGTAGTAAACCATCAATATCTTGGTGTGGTTGTTTGCTACCGTCTTGGCCAAAAACAAAGGTGACTACACTATAATTACAGTATATACTACAAATATCCATATATATATACACACAGATAAAAGTCCGTACGTGCAAAAGATGTACCTATATATGTGTATTGTGTATTGTGTACCTTTTAATTTGCACAAGCAATGCCCCCTGGTAAACTAACATAACTATGGAAAATCACCATTTTTAATGGGAAAACTCATTATAAATGGCCATGTTCACTAGCTATGTTAAATTACAAGAGGGTAACGATAAATCATATTGGCAGTTTTTGCCGTCACCACATGACCGCACTTGGCAATGATGGTTGGTTAGTTTCATCCCCATAGATGATTTCCCACATTGGCGGGGATCATAGGAATCCCACTTTTTAGCAATTGCATGTCTAAAGCCATTTATGGCTATTGATTTCCCATTTATCGTAGATTACAAACGAACCATAAAAACTGTAGAAGCCATAAATGGCATAATATGTACATATAATCCTATATAAGGCCATCTATTTATATCCCAGTAATCATAGATGTCACTTTTTTGGGATACAAAAATCAAACCTTGCCAAGTCTCTGCACCACTGCTCCGTAAAATCTGCACTTCGCGCCACGCCTTTGCCCATGCCATGGCAAGTGGGGTGCCTGGCATGACTTTGGTGGTTTTGTTGCCAGATTTTTTTTAGATATTTCCATAGAGTAAACATAGGAAAAAATGTGGAACATGGTCCATTTATAGATGAATTACCTATAGGACATGGTGATTCTCCACATCTATGTTAGTTTACAAGAGGGTAAACCCCTCCTTAGAAACCCTGCTTTGGCAATGGGTATGTTCATGTTTGGAATCTGTATAGATACCCCCTTAACACTGGATCAGTAAATTGTATTATTGGATACCTCCCTTAAAAATTTTGGTTTCGGCATGGATCTGTTTATACTCGGGCCCCTTATTCGGGGTATTTGACTGGAAATGGATTTTGTTATGATAGGGAGATGAGAGGGAGAGTGTTATGTTATTTGTTGTCTCAACAGTTTAGCAGGTGAATTCCATTGAAATATTACTTTGGCCGGGTAGATCCTCAGTCACCTTCTAAATTCTCAAAGGTCTGATATCTGGAAATCAAACATTCTGATTGACATGGAACATCTTCATTTTTGGTGAGACAATCAGCCATGAAGGAAAATCAGTGGACACGCAAAGGCTATATATATATATACCTTGGATACCCTGGAAAGTGTCCTTTAGTTGGGTGGAAACATACACACAAACAGGTTCAGGGTGTATGTATATATATATAATCACAAATTAAACATTATGCGTATGAGCATGTTTCAAACATATTACGAACACGTATGTGCAAAAAAACACATCATGTCATGGCTTAACTGAAATTTTCCCCAAACACAAATGGTGTTTGACATCGACTTTCTCCATCCAGGATGAAGATTGATGTGGGACAATCATTGCATGTGCCGCTGGAAGCCAACAAATGCTCCAACATGTTTCCTTTAAAGCATGGTTGTGACAGTTGTGACAGGAGTATATTCCATTTTGAATGATTTAATGGTTATAACTTATAACTTGTTGTGTTTCAAATTTCGACATGATAAACTCCGCCGCATATGCTTTCTTACACAGCGCTTGTGTCAACCTGATGGTGACAAGGTGGTGCACCCGAGTTGTGTTTGTTGAACTTTAAACCCTACCAGAAATCTGAGTGAACATATAGGCCTTATAAGTCAACTTGGCCAATGAACTAAGGCATCACACTGGATATATTTACGTGTACACACAGACAAAAATATAAATATATAATATATACAAACAGTTATATACAATTATACACATCTATGCGCTGGTTGGTTCAAAGAGATGTGCGTAGTCTGCAGGATCTCATCTGCCGTGCGCCGCAATGGACTGGTCAATGGAGTGGAAGGTGAGCGGCTCGTCTTATGCTGACCGAACACTCGCTTTACATCTCCATTCATGTGGGTAAAACAATGCCATGTTTATTACCACCCCCCCAATCACAATGTTTATAGGTGGTATAAATCGGTATAAACCATTCCCAAATTGGTGGTTTATTAAACCACCAAAAAAATTAATATGGTGGGGTTGGGGCTTCAAATTTTGTAAACACATTTCTGGAAAACACCAAATCGGCCTCTACAAAACCAAACACGTAGCATTTGAACAGGAAGTTTTTAGGCATACAAAATCCACACACCCAACCCCACTTTTGTTGGGACCTGGGGCACCCGGCGCTTCTACAAGCTTGAGCCTAATTATAAAATTTGAAATATCGATATGAATTCCAAAATTTCAATACCACAGAAAATGATATTTATGAAACCAATTGAAACCTTCTGAAATCAATTGAAATCATCGTTCAGCCAATTTCTCTACAAAACGAAAAAAAATCACAAAATCTTAATGTTCCGAAAACTCAAGACACTACAAAATCAAAAACAAAGCTTAAGGTCTCCTCCAAAATGATCCCAAACCTCTACAAAATCAAAAACCTGCTTGGAAATGATTCAAGATACCAAACCATCTCCCACAAAAAATGTTTTGTGCCAAAGGTTAGCGTGTCAGATTTTGTAGCGGTTTTTTTTGGAGGTATGGTTTCTTATTGTTTTACATCCCCATTATATCACTCCCCATATATTGACGTTCAACTGCTGAATCCCGTGCGCAAAAAAACGCCTCAGGCTATCTCTGGCAGCTGCACACAGCAGCGGCCACCTGCAGGTTCCACTATGCGAAGACCAAAATAGATTTCAGAAAGTAGATAAGACATGGATCATACCAAATTGGATTCAGAAATCACAGGTTCTATTTTTCCAGGTAAGCCGATTTTCTGCATGTATGAGAAAGTGGAAGTATAGGTGTTTGGGTTTGGCGCTTTCCTAATATAATCATGATGTTCATTGCCTGTGATAGGAATGCTCATGGCAAATATCATCAACGGGGATTAAACCAACCATTGCATGGGGATGTAAAATTGGTAAAATGATGATACTCCATGGGAATTGGGGTATTAAACCATCAATCTCTTGTGGGACCAGTGTGTTTTCAAACATTGTCATGTTCCGTAGCTATGTGAAATTATTGGAGGGTAATAACGTAAATCCCATCAATCAACCACAAGCAACAATCATCAGCATCATCAACATTATTAAGACTATTACCCTTTGGTAAACTAACATAAGTATGGAAAATCACAATTTTTCATGGGTAAATCAACTATAGATCACCCATTTTCCATAGCTATGTTAGTGTACCAGAGGGTAACCATATATCAATCTCATGTTTCAAACGCACCGGACCGCGCACCGCACCGCCCTTCTCCTTTTCAGCACGGTTTCTGCGAGGTCTGTCTGAGCGACACACGACCAGCCTCTGTGGCCTCTGTTTTCATCCTGCGGTGCGGTTGGGTCTATCAATGGATTTGTTTTGTTGGGAACATAATGAGGAAACCAGGGTTTTTACCAGTCATCATCTGTGTTTCCTTTGAATTGATCTACCATGGTCCGATTCTGCGGGAATCTATCAATAATGAATTTGCACTTATCAACAAGGATACAATATATGCTTGGTGGTTTCAAGCCCCTGATGGCTGCACCCAATTGCGATCATCAAAGATGGTTGAAAATACATAATCATTGAAACCACCAGGCAAATGTATATGTATGCATATGTATGCGTTTATGTAAAACATATAAATATAAATGTAAATATATATATATATATTGTTTACATATAATTGTACTATTATATGCAGTTATATGTGTATAAATCATATATATAGATATATACATGTGTATCAGATGTGCAAGTGCTACATGAACAAAACATGAATATGTCATACATGACTACGTCATCTACATTTCATCTGCATTTCAAACTTGCCCACAGTCGTACAAAGATTCACAGCCGAATTGGCCACCCATCTTCCCACAGTCAGCTCCATGGTCATTTCCGATATGGATGAGGGGTCCTTTCCAGTTTTCCCGTCAATCCTGGCACTCATGAGAAGTTGAAATGTTTCTTGATGGGCTTGGTCACATCCCACACCTCACACCGGCCAGTGGACGCAGTGGACACTGACACCACCGGCTGCCAGAGATCGCATCGTGGCATCTTTTAACGCTAATGTTTTTCATGCCGAAAAGGGACAACATCTATTTATTGTTGGTAATGTCTGAAAGTTGCTGCTGATAATGCGAATATACCTTTTTGGGATAAGTGTTCAAATAATCACATTCTCATGTCAAATGGCATCCAGGGGCCCTCAAAACGAGATCAAGCACATGTTCATAGATTTTCTGGATCTGCGTTCAACCACCCAGATAAGATTCAGATCATTGTTTCTTTAAATCTTGCTATTCTGCAAATATTACTTCAGGCGTTCACAGTTTGATGGGCCCGCATATCCCCAAGAAAAGTCTTTCTGTTTTTTGTTGTTTGCTGCGCTGTAGTAGTAGAATGCTAATCATATTAATGCTGTTAATATGGTAAGCCCAGTGCCATAAGCCATCCTGACCTTTACCAGAATTGGATGGTAAAGCACAAATTCCCTCTGGGGGGGTTGTGTCATTGAGTTTGCCTCATGATCAATGGCCATGATATGCTTGCTTGATGACACATAGACATATTCAAGTCAATTCAAGTTTTTGATAGTAACAACACATAGTGACACATATTCAAGTTTTGATATTAACAACACCGTACAATAAAAGTAACAATGATGGTCAGCTATATCAATCATCAAAATTGATCTTTAATATCTTTAATGTACTACAGGCCAATCCACCATCCCGTTAAAATGATTTTGACCCATCCCCATACGGGGAGAATGGCCAAGGTTTAAGACGCAAAGAAAAACAAACTAAAGCGGAAGAAACTAAAACGCCTAGTGCTACTCTGAACCATCGAAACAGCAACCCGCAAAAAAGGTCAAACATGTGAAATCCCATTGTTTTGGATTATAAGTGATTTAACCCTCAAATCGGCTACTATATCCATTCCCTTTTACATGGTTATCAATCACGCTTTATCCATTTGCGGGTTCTAAAGCTATTATTTTTACCCAATTTTGAGTGGACAATCAAAATTCTTGGGTGATATCCGCCGACCCTTGCCTAGCATTGGCCTAGGCGGGGCAGCGCCCGGGATCACCGCAGGTGTGCGACATCTCCAAACATGTTGCATATCCATATGCTTTCTGTACGGGATCGAAACTGCCATGTAGCCATTCAAAGTGTCACGTTCGGCACCCGCTGTAGGCCCCATTGCCACGGCTGCAATACGCTGCAACACAAGCTGTTTCTATAGAAAGGTTCGAAGCTGCCATGTGGCACGTTTCGGCGCCCTTTACAGGTCTCAAACTCTCCGCTGCAGCGTTGGGCATCGTTGCCAAGGTATGCATGGCAAACCAAGCCAGAGCACGATGCCCACACAAGCCCTTCACTGTTTCTATCAGGTTTCGGCACCCTTTAAAGGTCTCAAACCCTCCGCTGCAGCGCTAGGCACCGTTGCCAAGACAGCAAGGCTGCAACCCAAGCCGCAGCAGGATGCCCGCACGCCCTTCACTGGTTCAAAACTGCCATGTGGCACGTTTCGGCACCCTTTACAAGTCTCAAACCCTCCGCTGCAGCGTTCGGCACCGTTGCCAAGGCTGCAAGGCTGCAACCCAAGCCGCTGAACGCTGCCCAAACAAGCCCTGCACTGTTGCGGTTCGAAACTGCCATGTGGCACGTTTCGGCACTCTTTAAAGGTGTCAAACCCTCCGCTGCAGCATTAAGCACCGTTGCCAGGGCTGCAAGGCTGCACCTTAAGCCGCTGAACGCTGCCCAAACAGGCCCATTAAAGTTTCTATTATAGCGGTTCGAAACTGCCATGTGGCACGTGTCGCACATCCCTCAACCCCGCATAAAAGGGGTGTCGACGGCACCTAGGCGACAGCCCATAGTCAGTTGGGATGATTATTCCCAATATATGGAAAAATAAAATTCATGTTCCAAACCACCAACCAGATGATAATTCATGGGGTTAACAGCATTGAACGGCAAACAGCTACGCCCAAGTTGCACAGGTCATGCCATCGGGGAAGACCACCAAATCGCCCGCTTCTACCTGGTGAAACCTATGGTGACTTGGGGATCCACCATTTTGACAACCCCCACAGGGGGGAACATGCCAAAGTGGACACACTACTTGAACACATTTGTTAATTGCTGCCTCTATATTTTTCATTGCATGGACTTGGAATATCTGCAACATGGATTTTGAGCAATTTTGGGGCTTCATGAATGAAAACTATGTCAACAGGAATATTTTGTGGCTGGAATTCCGAACATCCACAGCTAGAGAAAATTGGCTTTGTCCATCAAAACATGGGGATTGAAAGAAAGGGTGTGCCAAACAAAGGGGAGTGTCAAATTACCATAGCGTTTCTTTTAAAGTGACAAACATGGGGGTAGACAATAGGCCCATCAATACTTGAGAAATAAACCTCAATCAATGGCTTTGCCATTGAAGTTACCCTCTGGTTATTTCACACAGCCATGGAACATGGCCGATTTATAGATGTTTTTTGATGATTTACCTGTTAAAAAATGGTGATTCTCCATAGCCACGCTAAATAACAAGAGGGTATTACGATTCCTTGGCATTCTTGTCTAATTACAAGGTGGTACCCCTCCAGTTAAGTTAGTTGGTTGGATTATAATCCCCATTACTATATATAGATATAACTGATATAACCACTTTAAACATAGAAATTCCAACGGGACATAGCGGAGAAGAAAAAAACTTTCCATCGGATTTGGTATGGTGGTGCCCCTGTAGTTAGATGTAGTTAGCTAAGTTGGGGAGATATATCATGAAATCAGTGATGATATAACTATGGTTTAAAATATCACCATAGTAGTTAGCTTAGCTATCATGATGTTAGTTAGATGTAGTTAGCTAAGTTATCTATAGTTACTATGGTTTATAAACCGACGTTCACATCACCCAGGGGGCACCACTTTGCACAGCTTGAATGGTCTGTTTTCCGGGGTGCATAGGTGGAGTCGCTTCCCTGAATCCAAACACACACCAAGGATTTTTATCATAAATTTTATCCATGAAATGAACATCACATACATAACTATAAAAACCACGCAGTGTTTCAACCAGATCACTATCATTCAGTTGCACGGCCTCAAACCAACATGTCTCATCCATAGATTCACCACACCACTAAATCCACATGTTGAGTTCCATAAATCCTAAGAAAAATAACAAACCATGTTGACTTCCCATTTTTTTTCAAGGAGACACACCGGATGGCCTCCCCTCCTCCCGCCTTGGTGGGCTTGCAACTGGCCCAGGCTCCCGTTGGTGTTACCAACACTTCACCTGCGATTTGGGCTTGGACATTGGTCCATTGATAAAATGGTGGGATTAACCCATGGCCAAATCCTTATCTGGTTGGTGGTTGAGCCTACCCTCTGAAAAATATGAGTCAGTTGGGATTACTATTCCCAACTGAATGGAAACAAAACATGTTCCAAACCACCAAGCAGCTAATGTTTCAAAAGTTCAAAGCCGCATGATTTGCATTTCAACCAAGTAGATTTCCCAGTTCTGGTGCTTAACCGCTAAAGGAAAAATAGAAAAAACATCGCAAGCCCAGGCACATGATTCTGTCTTGTATACTCGTTCTTCGTTCCCATTTCGATGACATATTAATCACAGGTTCCTCAATCCTGTACCAGACTGAATGGATGGATGTCAAGAAAAATGATAGCATGGTCTTATCATCCAATATTGGTGGTTTCTTCTTTTGGATCTCCTATGTTTTCCCCTCAGCCAATTCTTGACACTGGGTTTGTCTGTAAAAAGGATGCCCTCCAAATCCTATAGCCTGCAGTTTATCACGACGTTCCCCTTCATTTGGGGGTCTACCCCGCCCCGATCATCAACTCCATAGCGGTACCTTCCAGGACGTAAGCGGTCTCAGTGCCGGAGTATTCCCAATCAAATTTGGAGACCTGCGGCCAGCGAGGCCATGTCGGCAATGTGCTTTCGACATGGGAACTTCTTTACCCAGAATGGTTAGCAGGGGGATCTTTACCAAGAATGTCAATTTTTTTAAGGTGGTGAATCATGTATACTGCACTTCAGCAACATACTATTGGTACACTGCATTGACATTGAAGCCTATCTTGGAAATTTTGGTTGTAGTTGGATGGTGTGAAAATTGATATTTAAAGGTTTTGGAGACTTGCCTCTGCAAGGGTTATATTCTCATGAGGAAATCCCAGGTGGAAACTGACATTGTGGCCTGTGGCCATTCAATCTCTAGTTAGTTATAATCCAAGCTGTACAAGTGCGCTATACTGAAATCAACCGGTTTTGTTTTTCAAGCTGACAATCTTAGATTTCCACAAAGAAACAAAAAACCAACCTCCCAGCAAATTACATGGAACTCATCTCCAAGAAAAAATCCAAGGGTACGAGTACGAGGTGAGGCCCCCCAAAAGATAACATAACTAGGTTAAGTATGGTCTACGTTCGATAAATATATGTTTTTTTTTAATATTCATTTATTTATTTATAGTTGTTTTATGTATTTACATGTGGTAATAGAAAAAATAAGCCAACAAACATGTAGCTAGGTTGGTCATCATCACCAAAAATGGAACATTTACAAAACAGGGAAAAAGAATGGGATGTGAAATCAGCACAAAACGGGTTTGATAGTCGGTAATGATGGGTAAGTATAGGATCTTAAATATATCATAAACTTGACTTATGATGGATGCATCTAGAGCTGGATGATGTATAAACCAACTTGCCCCAACTTGAATGGTTCCAGTGTTATCTCCTTCATTTCTTGAGCGAGATATGTTCATTACAATGGATCGTTGATTACGGTGGGTATGCCGTTATTTATGTTATTTCGAACTTCGTTAAGCATCTTTCACCAGTGATTAAAACTATTATCTTTGATGGTGATGATGATGATGATGATGATGATGATGATGATAATGATGATGATGATGATGGATGATGATGGATGACGATGACGATGACGATGACGATGACGATGTTGATGATGACGATGATGATGATGATGAATGATGATGATGATAATGATGGTGATGATGATGATCATGGTGATGATGATGATGATGATGGTGATGATGATGATGATGAATCAATGGTGATTCAATGATGACTCAATGATGATTCAATGGTGGTTCAACGGTGATTCAATGCTGTTTCAATGATGATTCAATGATGATGATGATTCAATGATGATGATGGTGATGATGGTGATGATGCTGATGATGGTGATGATGCTGATGATGATGAATCATGTTTAATTATACTATCCAAATTCTAGAGTTGTAGATGTCATGATGAGCAAAACAACACCTGTGACTCATCTTCTCGGAGGCCCGAATTCAACATGCTTTTTTTGTGTCTCGCCTCGCATCCCCAGGTGCCCCATTTGGAAATCTTGTGCTTGGACTCAGCTTCGTCCTACGGCTCCATGGTGGAGGAAAATTGGGGCCCCTTGTCAATAGGAAAGTGGCTTTGTAACTTTCAATCACCTGGGATTTGTTTGGTGCATCTCCAGTTGGGCATATGTTTATTTTTGTAGGTATAAACTATTGATCTAAGTGGGGATATTCCAAATATAACTACGGTCAAAATAGGATTCTTACATGTTACACCCGCTTTCGATGCCTGCCTTTTGTGTCATGCTCTGACTGAGCAACCCTGGTGATGGTTACCCTCTCGTAAACTAACATAGCTATTGAAAATTGCCATTTATAGTTGATTTACCCCATTAAAAAAGGTGGTTTTCCATGGTTATGTTTCTTTACCAGAGGATAACTGTTGGTTCTGGCTTGGAACCTGCTGAAAGCGTCAGTTTCAATGGGATCACTATGGAAGGGCCAGCCGTAACCAGCAATTCACCAGCCGTACACTGGTGATCTACGAACAAGGAAATCAGATACATCAGATACCCCATACCAACCAGGGGTTTCTGTGTCACTACCATCTATACACGATAGGGCCCCCAGTTATGTTTGTTGATAAACCCATCTAACTAGTTCGTTACTGCTATAATGTTGGTAAAACAATAATAAACCATTCCCCAGTCATCACATTTTTCATAGGTGGGAGTTTGACCTTTCCCAGTCATGGGTGGTAAAAATGGTATTGTTTTACCCACATTACTACGAACTAACCCGAAATTATATCCAATTATCATCATGGTTTCAAGCAAGTTAGCTGACGTTTTGGAGGGCCCAACCTTGGTATATTGTGGCAAGTCGCCCCATGATGGCGGCCGGCGAGGGTTTGTTTGCACATACGGTTCCCGGGTAAGCAATTCCAATGTCCAATGTGGATTATTCCAAGGTCCATTTCATCTACCCATTAAAACCAATAAAAATCTTCAACTTGGCATTAATTATATATTGAATACCTTCACATTATATATTGAATACCTTCACAATAAACGTGTAGGTTTGGCACAGTGCAAGTCAAGTTTTGCGCACCACTTGTCCCATTGGGGGAGCTTTAACCAACACCGGCCATCCAGAAAGGAACGCAACTTCAATCCAGCACACCTAGCTACTTGCAACTACATAATGTGAAAAGTGTGTTTAAGCAATCTTCCAACTAGAAGTAACACATTAAACATCATTTCACTAAAATAACCAACCTTGACGTGTAAAAATCAGGACCCGAGCATATCCAATCCTAACCCCTGCAGCCGGCCGTCCTTGGACATTTTGGTGACCGTGATCTCGGGTTTACTCATGGCGCTTGTGGGCGCGGCTGGTTCATTGTGTTCTTCGAGCCAAGCTGCAGAGGGAACCAAACGAATGGGCTTAAGAATTTTTCATATCCCAAGCCTTTCACCCCGAGTTGGTCACAATTTCCAAGAGACGGTCAACGCAAAACGAGATAGTGTCATGCAAAGTCTCCTCTGTACTGATTTTATTGCTAACAAGCTTCAAAATCTTCAAAGCATACTTGTTGATTATATCTCCGTTTCTGAAATGTTTGAGTCTCTATTGTACTGGTGAACAATCTAGGTTTCCTTTTGCTGATGTAGTCGATCAGGTTGCTCAGTATGAATGGCTGCGGAGAAAGCTTATCCCAGAAGCGCGCCTCACTGTCAGCGGCTGCCGGTAAGCAGGCGCATATGAACATTTACATTGTGATCCTGAATAAAAAACATCGAACTGTAGATGATGGTAGTGATAATGTGTGATGTCCTTATCCGCTGGTGATTGACGGATTCCCATGATCTATCATGGTCTGGCAGTTCGGATGATGTAGATTGCCTTAGACCCAGCCATATATGAATCTACAAGGTCATGTTGTTTCTCCACCATTTTCCAACTTATTATATTGACATTCATCTCATGTGTCAACAGTACTTGTCTGATCAATCTTCCCCATGTGCTGTTACTGAATGCTACTTCACGTTTTGAGCCCTGAATGGGCTAAGGCTAAGAGGCAACCTCCGATCATCTATGAGACTTGAAGAACTTGGAATTTTCATGTAACATATGATTATGATGTTTAAAGGGAACATGGTGATTAAGCATCGAATCTGGGGGCTCTCCAAATCTCTCAAACAAACCCACCAAAAATGCGTGTGCACACCATCCTCGAGATCAAACCTCCTTTCGGTACCAAATATCCTTAATAAGCCCTGCAAAAGGAAAGAACAACCAATACTAATCCAGGTTCTGGAAGGAGTTACTGTATTAAACGTTAGGAGCAAGTGGTTTTGAATTTGAAAAACCCTGGTTGATGTTCTGTGGGTTCTCCGCACGTTGAATGGCTCTATGCATATCCCTCCCTAGTTGTAGTGGTTCTATCCTCGTTTTGTTTTGTTTTCATGGTCAAGTTGGTCGAGGATCCCAGCTGTCAACCCTGGATCAATAACCCCCTAAGCCCTAAGCTTGCTGATATAGTTCATTGTCATTCCCGCCTGGTGGTGGGCATCTTATTCTGCGACTACAACCCCGGCAAGCACATCTATACCCCGGCAAGCAGGTCTATGGCCGTCTTCTCGCGTGGGTAAAAATGATTCTCTTGGTTTTCTTCCATCGTTCTTGCGCCCAAAAGGATCTGGCCCTATGAGTCACTTTAACATAGCACGGAAAATCACCAGTTTGCAGGTAATCTACTCTACAGTACCTTTTTTGTGAGTAGCTATGTGGCTCATCACCAGACCGGGTCAACCTGAAAAAACAGGGATGATCTCATATCTGGGGCCTGACCATGCAAGAAATTGCAAAATCCAGGCTGAAAGCTGAAGCCCCCGGTTCTGAAAACCGGGAGAGAAAATATTCTGGGTATGACTGGTATTGACATCTTATTGTGCAAGCATGGCCAGTATCATGGCCAGGCTTCCGGCGGCTCCTCTTCAACATGCCACTGGGCCACCGTCAAATGCTCGATGGCCTGGTCAACTGCAGCAGATGGGTTTTCAGCGTTTTTCCTGGATGACCCGTCACAATTGTTCACCAAACAGTCACAAACTCCATCGCAATCCTGGAGGTTCACCAATGATACGGAGATATGGAGGTTTGCTATATCACTTTACAATGTTGAATCCCCATGTTTCGTGATTTTTCTAGGGTGACATATGGTAGTTTGTTCTCCCAAACCAGGGTGTCAAATCTTGAGTTTCTATTCACTTTGCTGGTATTCCCCAAAGGTATCCCAAATTTCAAAGCTCAATGGATGCAAATTAAATACCCAAGGTCATATCAATATCACCATTATATCCCACTACTAATCTACATTTTTTTTCCATGTGAACTCCCATATTCCGACTTATTCTCGCAATATCTATAGCCCGACTTATTCCCTCAAGCAGTCTCTCGCAGCCTCAGCGGAAAGATTTCCCGTGGGATTGAAGCCATCCCCAGTCATGGTAATTGTTTATGGCACGGGGTTCCCCAATCATTTTCAATTGTATCCATGGTTTTGGCCTCAGTAACCAACCAACATGTAGGCTTATCATCCAGTGTTATACTCATATGAGAACTATCCATTGCTATCCCCAGTCAAAGTGTTGCTTCCCACATGGTAGGTTTATGATGGTATATGGCATGGGGTTTCCCACAGTCATTATTCCCCAACAACCTCCAGTCGCCTCTTGTCGCTTCATTCCCAGCTCCTGCCACAGGGCAATGGCCTCTTCTGCAGCCTCCGCTAAGTGGATGCCAGCAGGGCACTAGGCAAAGGGGTTACTGAAAGATGGGCAGTGGATTACAACTGAAACATGTCCGCATTTACCAACTGAAAAATGCCAAACAACAAACAAATTGCTCAGAGAGTGACTTGTTTTATCTCCAAGGATCTCAGCATTGATCTCTCCATGGATGTTTTCAGTAGGGCTACCCGTCTACCCCCAAATCATGGTCGTTTCCCCGTCTTCAAAGGGATGGTCATCAATCCATGTTCATACCTACTGGATGGGATTTCCCTTATTGGATGACCATAAACCAACCCATCTAACTGTAAATCTACCAAAAACCATAGAATTGACCCAGCTAAAAACCAACTTAACTATCATAAACCAGCTTTGCATCTCATTAAATCAACATTCTTCTTGGATCTTCTTGGTTAGTTAGACCGCCATGTTACTATGGATTCGAAAAAACACGGGGGCCCTGCCTTATTGTCAAAATCATGGAACGCACCCCGGACATCCCTGCGCGCCTGAGCGCCGCCCTCCATCTGTCGATTGCCAAAACGTGCCTGGCGTTGCTGGCGCAGGTCGGATTTGAAAACATGGCAGAGTAGAACTAACGACCAGAAATTTTAACCTGGATGAGTTATGTATATATACCTGTATCATCAGCTATCTGAGATATCTGTAGATAGTAGGCCCCTACCAAATTATCTAAACAGTTATTGCCATTTATTAGTTGTAACAGGTTATTTCTATGGGCTTATACATTCTATGAATGGGGTTTTGTTAGTACTTATAAGTGGTATCTTGGGCAATAACTGTAATTGTTATCCGGTTTTCCTAGGCTTTTAATATGGTTTCCGAAACGGTTTTTAGATGGTTTTCAAGGCAACTGTTAATCAACTTTGCTTTCCAAAGGTCTGGGGGATGATGGGGCCACCTCCGGGAACGAAAAAAAAACTCGCCTCGGCCAAGAGGTGCGTGGCACGCGCCTCGCTCCGCGAATCGCCCAAATCCTCGAAGATTCCCAGGGCCTAAACGATGGACCCCTGGGGAAGACACAAAAAATGAGGGAAAACTATGGAAAAAATTGAGGGAAATTGGGAAACATGTGAAAAACATGATGGAAAACATGATGAAATTAGTGAAAAGCCACCATTTTTAGGAAAGTTAGTTGACTTTCTGGTTGGGTGTTTTGGTTTTCGCATCACCTCTCTAGAAAATATTTGATACCAGAGCTTGATGAAGTCATATTTCGAACGTTTCTGTGATAAGACTGAAAAATTGCCCTCGAAACCATGACATATAGATATAAAACCCACGAAAACTGAAGCTCAATATATCTACCATGAACTCCATATAGACATTTCTCATATCAATTATAGATGACGTAAGCGTTCGCTTAAACATATATTTGCCATAATAGCGATATTGAAATCAAAAAAATATCCACATCTATGGTACAAACTATATCCATCCGATATACTTACGATAACTATAGATATGGATAACTATGGATGTGGATAACCCGGTATAGTCAGTTACACGGTAGATATGGAGGCTTCCAATCCATGGGGGTACCCCTAAATCATCCATTGACAGGATTTTCATCGATTTTCCATTTTAAACCATCCAGCTATTGGGGAGTCTCCATTCATGGAAACTCCCATAATATATTTACATCCATCTACCATAAACGATACGTAGCCCGTTTAGGCGCCTTATTGGCTGCTCCAATGGCCTCCTGAAAGGACTTGACCTGGGTGGTTTCAGGAAATTTAAGTGGGGGGTTTTAAGGATGAAACATGGTGGTTTGATATGGTTTTGTATGGCTTGATATGGTTTTATATGATTTAACATCCTGACATGGAGATAGATGAGCAACCACATATCAAACATGGAGGTTTAAGCCTGGCACATGGGAGATTCACCAGCATAGATGCGAAAAGTCATGGGGAAAGCCGGTTGGAACTGATCAGATTCATGGTGTGATTTATCCATATCGGCTTGCGTTTTTTTTTCTGAAGGATAAGGTATTTTTTGCCGACTGCTATCATTTGAATACCAGTGTGCCCGAATCAATTCTTGAAGGCGACTAGATAAGGAATACAATTTGGAACTTTAATTTGGTTCCCTGTTCTTTTGGAAGATGAAGATGAACGCATGACCATAACCACACAACCGCACTTGGATGTCTGTGGCGCGATTTTCCATCACCAACCAATCCCCAAAACGAGGTGGTAGTTTGTCGGGACCATTGCAATACATATTTTGCTACCTTATGTTTTGTTGTGTGATACATGGACTGTGTTGATGAACCAGTGGTTTGACATATACATGATGCATTAATTACATACTGTGAATATATAAATATGTGTGTGTCCACTATACCTGCACATAGCTCAACAGGCTCAGGTGGTGGATCAAAGCACTCACAAGTGGATGCGCAGACCCGAACTGGAGGGTTAATAGTCGACCGATGGTCTTCACCATATCTTTCCATCATGTCCATGTGGCCTTCACCTGACAAATGGCTTTTCCATTTTCCATGTTGCTTGGTAGCAGTGATCTGCAATCAGGGGTTTTCAATCGCCCAGAGATCCGAGGGTGGTGGGAAGCGTTTAGACACCGGCCCACTGCAAATGAAACAATGTTTTAACCTAGTTATTTGAAGTAACTTTAGCGAACTAGGGGGCACTACCTTATACCATGCATGTGTTGTTTTTAATCCATCGTACGAACATGTTTCCTTGAAAGCAATCGGAATAGCGGCCCCTGACAGTCAATGGACAGATAACATCCGTGGCAAAAACCAATAAAAAACACTGCTGTCTTCGAGTGATCCCCGCCATCGCAAACATTTTGAAACATATCTGACGTTCCACCTGACACTCTACCTGGCATTCTATGTATTTGAGTTTGGCATTTTTTGACTGCGCCCTCCACACATCCGACATTCTACCTGGCATTCTATCTGACATATATTCTGACCATTTGTGTAGCAGTCTGTCTGACATATATTCTGACAGTCTTTCTGGCGTTTGATCTGGCCTTCTATCTGGCATTCTTTCTGGCATTCGATCTCACATACTATCTGCCATGCTATCTGGCAATCAACCTGGCATATATTCTTACATTTTATGGGGGTGTTTTATCAATATATCTTGACTTTCTATTTGACACCCTGTTTTCGCTCTATTTGGCATTCTATCTGAGAATTTATTTTCAATTCTATCTAACATATATTCTGACCTTTCATATGGCATTATATTTGTATCTACAGGAGCACTTTATTTGACATGTATTCTGACATTTTGATCATTTTGTCTGGCACTCTACCTGACATATATTATATTCTATTATTCTGGTTTTTTTCTGGCATTCCATCTGGCATATATTCTGCCATTTTTTTCAGCATGTGTTCGGCGTGCCCAGCCTGACCTGAAGCTCGCAGTGGGGCTCGGGTCCGTGCGTGCCTAGACTGCCGTGGAGCTTGCCGTGGAGAGACTACTCCACTTGAGCTGGCACTTGCTGTGAGATCAAGGTCTGATCGAAGGTGCGAGAAAGGAGTGGCGGAGTAGGAGTTGCACCTTTGCTAAAGCCTAGAGACCCTCACCTGGCACGTGGGGCAAAATGGGATTCTGACCAACCATGTGGTATTTCTTGGACAAACATGAGCAAATAAGACAACAACAAGTGTGAGTAGAAACCGCATACAACCATAAAATGATTTTTTCTCAGGCATCAAAAATCTGAAATGCCATTGCTGGGCGCTTTGAGTGTTCTTGCTGGTTCCGAGAGTGTCCTTATTGTTGCTCATCATTTCTGGCGAGATCATTCAATCTTGCAGGTTAACTCTTCAGATATGAGCTATCGCCATTCAAATTCTAGCCATTTGTTTTGGTTTACTTTTCAGATATGAGTTAACGCCATTCCAATTCTAGCCACTAATTGTTTTTCCGCAAGTTGCCAATATCAATTGCAAGCTGCTTCTGATCAGATCAACCCTTCAACAAGGTCAGTTCAACACCTTTTAAAACACTTTTTTTTTTAAGCTGTAAGTATGCCTCATGACATATATTATTAATATATCTCATGAATATTAATATGATTTAGGATGCTTTAATATATGTCCCATCAATATTATTTGCTAATTATGTCACCAAACAATGCTATTCCTTTTATAGACCCTAAAGGTCATCTTGCTCAAAAAATCTCATTCTGAACCACAAATATATATATATATATATGTGCTTAACGACATCATGTGCGATGAAAAATCATGGTAAACTGAATAGTTATCGAAGGAAGTTTAGAAGTCAAACTTCCGACAATATGGAGAGATGAAAAGCAGAGCAGGGCAGAGGCAGAGAGAAGAGGAAGATTAGAAGAGAGAAGATCAGAAGAGAAAGAGTAATAAGACAGAAGATACAGATGCGCGAAAAGGTAGGAAAGTCGCGAAACACTCTGTTTTTCCAATGATTTGGGGCTCCGGAGGGTCGAAGTTAGGCTCGCTAAAGCGGCGGGTGCGGAGCCAGCTGGCCAGATGAGAGATGAAGAATTGCACGCCGTTGTGGCGCGAAGCACATTTCGAAGTCAAAAGTGTTAAAAACTGGCGGTCTCGGACCACTTTTGGAAGTTGAGATGTCAAAAAAGTGCACGCCGTTGTGGCGCGAAGCACATTTCGAAGTCAAAAGTGTTAAAAAACTGGCGGTCTCGGACCACTTTTGGAAGTTGAGATGTCGAAAAAGTGCACGCCGTTGTGGCGCGAAGCACCGAAGTCAAAATGGAAGTGTTAAAAAATGGGGTCTTGGACCACTTTTGGAAGCACATTTTGAAGTCAAAAGTGTTAAAAACTGGCGGTCTCGGACCACGTTGGAAGTTGCGATGTCGCAAAAGTGCACGCCGTTGTGGCGCGAAGCACATTTCGAAGTCAAAATGTACAAAACACCCAGCTTCGGACCACTTTTGGAAGTTGCGATGTCGAAAAAGTGCACGCCGTTGTGGCGCGAAGCACATTTTGAAGTCAAAAGTGTTAAAAACTGGCGGTCTCGGACCACTTTTGGAAGTTGAGATGTCAAAAAAGTGCACGCCGTTGTGGCGCGAAGCACATTTCCAAGTCAAAATGTACAAAACACCAGGGGTTCGGACCACTTTTGGAAGTCGAGATGTCGCAAAAGTGCACGCCGTTGTGGCGCGAAGCACATTTCCAAGTCAAAATGTACAAGAGAGAGATAGCTAGATCGACAGATAGATAGATACATAGAAAGTAGGTAGGTAGGTAGGTAGATAGTCAGAGAAAGAGATAGAAAGAGTGAGAGAGATCAAGCACCTTTCAGTCCATCAGTGGCTTCGCTCTGCCATCCCTGATTCACAACAACCAAGTTCTCCTATAGGTTTCCTATTTTTGAAACTTCCGCCACCGCCTTGTGCGGTACTACTGGTATACCTTCATTTTCAGTCATTGTCCCAATATAAATATTATAAACCATACCTTCAATCAACCCCTAATAAAATCACGGTAAGCACCCAAACAGCGCTGCGAAAATGTCGGGGCCCCTGCGTAGCAGTGAAGGTCCACCAGCGCTAGGAGAACAGCACCTGGCTACACGGATCCGGTTTCAAAGGTGGGCTTGAGTAGAGATAAACCACAGCAGTTTATTGGTAGACAGTTAAACATATTGAAAATGAACTGAATAACTGTTAAATCTGTTAAATATTTTGAATAGCTTGGACGAATATATGGTTAGATATATCTAAAGATGGTAATTGTAAAATGAAGTTCGCATACCAAACAACATGACTGTGGGGGGCACCAGCATGCAAACAAATAAACAATCCTGTGCTGGCGTATGTAAGCAACACTGCCGCCATTAGCAAAAAGCCTTTGTTCATAAACAGAAGTTGGATGCTGATCTGAACTGTTTAGGAAATATGGTTCTGGCATAAGAAGGGATTGTTAGACCTTGGTGGCCGCTTTGGGGGTGGGTAGGTGGAACCGGCATGACTCATACCTCATCATAGTAGGCTAGGCCATGTTTGATACCCTGCACTTTTTGCAAGCTGCGAGCTGGATATATGCAATTGTTAGGTGCGCGATGAGAAAAAACACATGCAAAATCATGTATAGACGTGGAAGACTATGGGAAGCCCACAACTTGAGCTTTCTGTCAATATTTCTGGCAAATTATAGTGGGCATGGTTCTTTATTGGGTTCCCCCATTGCCCACCCAAGGTCTTCCCACTCGTTGAGGAGGTCATCCGGGGCTCTGTGGCCCATTGAAACGGAGGAGTTTGGCCCATACAGGGCACTTTTCCAGAAATACGTACAACCGTAGATACCCAAAAAGTTCTGGTTGGTGGTTTCAACCCCTTTGAAATATTGGTCAGTTGGTATAATTTTTCCAATATATGGAAAAATAAAAAATGTTCCAAACCACCAATCAGTTTTGAACGGTATTTTCATTGTTCTGGGCAAAATATTATAGTTCACAAACTGAATTGAAGCTGTTTTGGGATAGGTTCCCTTTGAAAAGCCCAATTTCACATGCTGATCCAGTCGCACATGGCGCCCAGGCCTTCCATGGCTTTGTCGCCAAGTTCGCGGTAAATTTTCAGCGCCTGCTCAGGGGGTCGTGTTGGGGGTGGTTTGTTGTTGGGATTCAACATGTTTACTGTTTACATATTACGACCATCAAAATCAGGGAGTTTACCGGATCAAATTTGACACACTCTCTAGTAAGTCAAATTTGCAACAAGAAACAACCTTAAAGTAAGGGTAGGTGTTTTTCTTCTGTGGCCACCCTTTATCTTTTTTGTTTTTCAAGATCTTCAATCTGAACACGTATGCAACAGCATATTGGACATGCTATTGGGATGTATTGGGATCCATGCAGTCTGACGACTTGACACTCTCGCCACATGGCAATTGGCCTCTAGGCAATTGGGTTTCAGCGGGCCAAAGGAGTCACACAGAAAGAAAACCGTGTCATGGTTCCATCCTCCTTTTTGAAGCTTATCTATCTTATCTTGGATGAAAAAACAAATGATATGCTACAGATTCCCCACGTAGTGGATCTCTGTTAATCAACACCTTCAACACATCCAAATTGTGTCACCATATTCATTGGCTTTCTCTCTTTGGCAAGGATTGCTTCCCAAAGCTTGTTCTCAAAACTTGTTCCTAGCTCCAACACTTAGATCCCAATTTCTAGGAGCCCAAATGGATAAGGATCAACCCATGTGCCTACGCCAATGTGGATTCATCTTGCCACGTCGGATCAAGCAACTTGAATTCACCAACCAAAAAGTGCCGAACTGATCGGTTTCGAACTCCAATATAGCTCAATGGATCGAGCTAAATGATTTCTGCATCTAACATGTCCTTGAGTCGTGGATGAAGAGTCCTTGGCAAAGAAATGATTGTTCTTTAGCAGTTGACAGGTGGTACTGTAAACATCCCCCTATTTTCTTGTTGTTTTTCTATGGTTAATTATCCATTTGGCCATCCTTTTGGCGTATGAAGCCGCCTCCTTCGCTTGTCTGATGCCCTGTTCCCGGTCTTTGGTACCTTCCAAGCGACATCTTGGAGAACCCAGGTTCAGGTAGCAGAAGCAGGTCTAAACGTCCAAACAATCCGCTGTGATTCCACCTGTTTGAAGTTTTACCAAAATCGGCTGGTAGAAAACCAATAGAACATGGTTAATGAGAGGTATTTACATAGTTTACATTCATTATCTCGAACTGGACTTTACTTCAGGACACCCGGCACCAAATCTTGGGTGACCTCTTCGACCGCTGCTATTCACACGTGCCAGGGCCAAAAGCATGGAGGCCTGCGACCGATGGATCTCACTCTGGTGAAGAATAAGAAGCTACAGTTCTGGCCCGAAATACCAGGACAAGTACATACTAGTACTGTTTTTTTTGGCTTTTTGGCTACCAGGGGGCTTGCCCGAAATTCAACAAACATGTACAAGTCTTATAACATCTTATAACCCCACTTATAGGGTGTATAGGGTGTATAATCCCATTTGTAGTCATTTATAGGGGGTATAATCCCATTTACTTAAATTAAGTGTGTTAAACATACTACAAGAATCTACCATTGAGTCACCGTTTTTGGGGTTGGTTCAAATCCAAACTCGATAAATGACGTTGGGCTTATCACAAGTAGGTGAACGAAGCCAAGAAAACACTAAAGTCACTAAAGCAACAGTAAATCATTCTCAATTTTCCATGAAATGTCCGAACAATGGGGTGGTATAAACCATGAATTTATAGTGGTTTACTAAGTTAACTATCGCTTTACCAACAAAAACATACAAAAACCAATGGCTTTCGTAGGATGATCCATGATATCCATGGCTTCACTGCGCCTGGCCACGTTTATGGCCCTGCTCCCGAAACCAAACCAACTCCTCTGTGGCCAAACACAAGGCCTGACAGTACTCGATGGGTCGCAAGGGAAAGACATGATGACATGGTGTCTTCAGGTTCAAACCCATAGGAAAATGCTGTTTTTAACCAAGAAGAATTCCAAGAACTGTCATTTTATGGGATGTGTAGCTGATTTGTGATAGCCAAGTTGGTGAACATAATTAGGTCAATTCGATGGTGTATGGTAGATATATCGACCTAGCTGAACTAGTCAGTTCATGGGGTTTATAAACCAACTTTTGACTGCGGGAATCAAGTACAACCATATGTTTACTGAGCAAAATAGGGTTTTGACTAGGGAATCTAATCAATTTTGACCATCAAGGGATAATAATGGACAAACATACTCGGATAATTATGGACAGAACTGCAAGGAATAAAGTACGGGATGGGTCCAAACCTATGAACTATCAAAAAAACAATCTATTATGGTGTGAAGTATAGTGCACCAGGGTTGTGACCGACATCCTTATGTGGGTGGTTAGTGATTTGGAATAGGTTTCTTGATATTTTTGTAGGCAAGGATTGCAAACGATCCCTCCTCAACCAGGCCTTCAAAAATAGACATCAGGATCTGAGTCACATTTTTTTGGTGGCTAAATCACCAACTAAATAATTGCTAAATGAGTCGGTTGATTCGCTTCATGTTACTGCACAATAGCCATGGTATAGCTGGTATAGTCCCGATGCTCCATTTTTTCGGCCAACGGGTAAAATGTTGGCAAATAATGGTATTTAAAAAAAATAGAATGTGAAGTGTATCAACAACTATCCAGTAACTATCAGTGACTACAAATAAAAACGCCCAAGATTCCATACATGGATCATTGATTGCAAAGAGATGGGTGGTTTCAATTGGTTGTGGATAAAGTTGAAAACACATTCACCAGCCGGCAAGATCTACCATTGGATTCCGACTTTTTTTTGGCCCAAATCCCATTTTTGGATATTTTTGGATATCCCAAATCCCATTTCATCCCATTGTTCAAAGCATTGATGTTCCAAAGCACATGTTTTTCCGCGCCTTTTCCGGTTTCTCATCCTTTTTGCCACTTTGCAATCGCATGGCGTCCACTACTACCCGCAAGGAGTCGGCCACCTGCAAGTCACGGGCAAAAATGTTTGGATCCCAACGATGATAATTGGTTGGTATTTGTGGGGGCATAGCCTAGTTACATACATATTAATATATATATGTATATATATATATATATATATGTGTATATATATATATTATATATATGTATATAAATATATATGGTAACCATACTTAGGAGACTTACTAACCAGGGTTATTGACCAATTACTAAGTGGGTGGTGTACATATGTAGTTTTAACCTTTACACATGTATAAATAAAGATATATATATATATAAATAAATAAATAAATATAACAAATAGTACACAATATATATATATAGGTATATAAATACATCTATTTATGAAAATAAAGACATGTGGTAATATAAAATATGATTCTGTAAACAAATCTGCATATATATATATATCTAAATATATTGATTTACAAATGATTACTGTATACATTTGATGATATACATGATCAGATATATATCTATATATAAAAATATTTGTCTTCAAAATATTTATATATATATATAGATATATTTATACATATATATGATCATATTATATATATAGGAATGTATGATTAAACCAATTAATGTATATATATATGTATATATATGATTATATATTTATAAATATTGTTTAAAAAATAAACATATGATAATAAATATACATATATATATATGTGTATATGATGTGATTATAAAAAGAATATATATATATATATAAATATTAAAATATATACACGATTTCATGTATGTATATACATATGTGATTGTGTGTGATTGTGTGTGTGTGTCATCAACAAAGATTCATGCCTATCTAAAAGCCTTTGGAGGTGCGGGCCAGAGATGAGAAAGCAATGGCAAAACAATGGTGTTGTAACCCGGTAATTTACAAAAATTGGAGTATAACCCTTATAAATATGGCCATATGCTCATTTTATTACAGTGAACTGCATCCCCAAGTATGCGATCCCAGCTGGCTGTATAGGGATTCCTGTGATAGGTTGTGACAACCCTTATTACAACAAGTTAGGTAACCCTTTAAAAAAAAATAAATGTTTTTTTTCATGGTTCAGTTGCCATTTGTGACAAGGTGCCATAAGGGCCATAATAAAGGAATTATGGGTGCATTACCCAAGTGATGGATCAAACCATTTTCAAAGGACACAAAGAAACAACACCACATCTTCAGAAAATCAAACTGAATTAAGTTCAAACTGTTCCACTCAGTTTTGCTGAATGAATTTGCTGAATTGGTAATGGTGGCTGAACCAATTACAAGCTAGTTTCCTGCATTTTGACCCAAAGCATGGGATGGTCAATGGCACGCACTGTGATCCTTGCGTTCGCCCCATGAGGATTAAACTTTGACTAAGGTGTGATGAAACTCAAAGTAGAAGCCATACAAGGAAGTATAATGCCAACTTTGCATGGCGAAACCGCCACTTCGTCAAATTTTAGTAACTATATTTGAATTTGCTTTGCGTAGTCAGAATCCCCAGGTCTCCGGACGCCCTCGATGTCCCCCATGTCTTTGAACTTTTCAAGTGCCTCCAGCACGAAGGCATGGTGATCGATCAGCATCGAGGACATCTTTTACACAGACCAAAATAAACAACCAACAAAAAAAAACGACTATTTTTCAGGGTTGAACCAGGTTTAGCCCTGTGCAAATCTGTATTTGCCTGAAATGTTCTATATGCGATTGTGTTGGTCCCCACTATTTCAACTGAAGGCTACGCAAATCATGTGAACTCCCCCAAATGGCTTACTTTCTGAGTCATACACTAACTTCGAGGGTGCTTTACCCAGGGTTATGACAATCATTTACTGATTCAATGAAGTAATCTGACCATGTTTGGTGGTTACTTTTCCATTTTTGCATATTTTTGCCAGTTGCATCCTTCATTACATCGCAACCTTCCCGGCCAAGTTTTGCCAGTTCTCCATGCCAAGTGCTTGCTGCCACGCCGCCACAATCGCTATCAGGCTGATAGGCTGGCTCTGGCGGCAGCATTGATTGCATCGATTCCCAAGTCACGGGAGACTGCCGTCCTTGCATCGACACCTGTGTTCGCCGCTTTGCAGCAAACAAGGCAATGGACGCAGGTAGTGTTGGCACAGGTCATGGCATCACTGAGAGCGGCTCCAAGTGCTCTCGGTGTCAACCCTAGGTTCAATGAAAAATGATCTAAAAATGTGAAGTAAGGATCTGTCTCCTTGTGTCCAATGCAGGCATCTTAGGTCCTACAAGAAACTCAACTACTTAAGGGCAGCTCCCTTCGGTTAACCAATTTACTGCTCCATTCTCCCCAGCATTCAAGTCCCAATATAGGCCCCTAAAATGCACACATCTCATATTACCCTCTGGATATGTCAAAATAGATATTGAAAATTGCAATTTATAGTGAGTTTTCCCAAAAAAACAGTGATTTTCAAAAAACACATATGCTTACCAAAGGGTAAACCCAGGTTTCTACGTGGTCAGCCGCTGAGGGCGCTATTAAAAAAACTAATCAAAGCCATTTCAAACGTCCATGTGTCACCAATGATAAGCACATGTTTTTTAGTTTACCCTCCGGTAAACGTTTACATAACTATGGAAAATCACCTTTTTATGGGCAAATAAACTATAATTTTCAATTTTCAATAGCTATGCTAAACTACCACAGGGTAAATCACAATTTCTGAACAAAGATTGCTAAGCCTCCCCTTGCCCATTCACCATTATCTGCAATTGCCCATTATTTGCTGTCGATATACCGATATAGATCATCATTTTGTTGAACCACTCTTTGTGGATTATATAATCGCTCTTCCACAACAATTTCAAGATAGTAATTCGGACAACATCCCTTGAAGCATGTACAATTGATTTCTTCCTTTTGACTCCGCATGAAACCCCATTTGTTCACGGCCTTTTGTTTCAACTGATCAGGTCACAATACATCCCGACGTACAGACAAAAATCAAGTTCCACTAAGCGTCAGGGGCTACCCGGTTGGATCAGCCACACCGTCGTTCTGGTTAACCCCTCCTATATATGACGCGGATACGGCAAGTTTCCCAAACGTTTAACTGAGATGCACCACATTTACAAGGACACCCAAATATCATACTGATGGCTGTGTCAAGTTGAGAATCATCATTTCACTTGAATTTACGTATTATGAATCTAGTTTCCTTTAAGACAAAACATTAAACACCATTAGATCATTGATCCAATTATACCTTTCAAAAAAATGAACATCACCAAAGACGATACGGTCAACCCGCTGCTGATCATACCATTATCATACTCCCATTACATCGAATTAAACCAAAAAGAAACACCAAAACAATTTCTAGAAGTGATCTCTCCATTCCAAATATGATTAGATAAACCACATTAAATCCAACTACATCTAATTATTTACATATCACCATGTGTTGTTAGTTAGCTTCCCTTATATTGCCATTACACTAAACATACCCCTATCGCAGTTCATGATACTAGTTGGTTGAAAAATGGGTTCCCTACTTTGCGTTATCAGAACCCCCAAAAGGTACAGTAATACAATTCCCAATTCATTAACAAATCAGCCAGGATATTTTACATGGCTCAACTGAACCTCTGGCAATCAAACGTGGCAATGGGCAATTCCACTAAAAAGACACCTTTATGACAACTTGCATTTCGTTCCGAATTTTGTCATGGCTCATATCAGTTGAAATATACAAGCCTGACCAGATGTCTACATATAAAAATATACGTATATTTAATCCTGATGGGGTACATAGAATACAGAATCGATCATGTCTATGTATCTGATCATGACTATACACATATATATAGATATATTATATGTAAATAAATAAATAACTAAATAAATATATATATATATACATATATCATGAACAATCATATTTCTATATCTTAGACGGCCAGGTTTCTATTGGTTTCTCACCTGAGTGGCAGCATCGAAGGCTTTGTCGAAGTCCTGGCCAACAGAATGGTGCTTAAACCAACAGAAAATAGTGATTTCACCATGAAAACTAAGAATGAAAACTATGGATTGGCTGGAAATATCATGAAATACAGGAGAACACAGTAACAGTAATATGGGGATTTTACATGATTTAACTGTGAAACACCAGGAATTCACCACCAAACATGGGTTTAACGGAGTTAAATTCCCTTTTCAACAATCAAACATTGAGATTTAACCATCATTTTAAAGGAGTTGAACAAAAATGGTGGATTTTTTCAGTCTCGGCACCAGACCTAATTAGCTGCCAACACTTCGATTTTCAGCTATGATGCTGGCGGATGCCGGCCACCCGTTCACCTTCAACCCTCTGGCAATCCGACCTGGTAGTGGCAAACCCTTTGTCCTTTGTCTGTTTGCACGTGATTTCCGTTTGGGAATATCATTCGAATATTGAACATGTACTAAGTGGTGGTGAACCAAGCTGCGCAAACGAGAGGGATAACATGAGATGACAGGATTTGCTGGTTCAAGATTCACAAACGAAATTAATTTACTTCTGGGTTAGTATATCAACATTCATACTTGTAAACCAAATAACTAATGTACACGACAGATATGGGGGTTTCTTGAAATGAGGGATCCGCAGAACCATGGATTTCAATAGTAAAATTGTTTTTTGATGATTTTGAATACCCCTTTTAAAGGAAACCTCCATGTTGTTTTTTTGGTAAGCCAATGTTGTATACCTCTTTTTTCATTTTTTTCTGCTTACAAGGATCCGCCACCAGTGCCTCGTGGTCATTGATGTAGTTTTCCGCCAATGCAAAGATCAGCGACGCCTGCGATGGTCGAAAAGCGGCTGGGTCCAACTGACATCATGTGCAGTACCCCTATGACTGGGATGTTGAAAAATTAACCCAAATGAAAACGAGGAATGGTATGGTTGGTTTATTATAACGCTTTACAACATACAAATTCCAAGCAACCAAAGAACCCAAATGTCTGCTGGGCCCCTGGGCAGTTTCCAAAACGCTTCCATCATGGCCTCCAACGTAAACCGGTTTGTCCTTCGAAAGTGCGCACCAAAAAAAGCATTCGAAGTGAGCTGATAGTTTTTCCATGTTTGACAGATGGGGTACCCTGTGATGGTCCCATTACCAAATCCAATTATGCCACAAACAATTGCCATATTTGACACAAAATGGTAATGGTAAGCAAATAACTTTCGGACAATCGCCACATTTTCAGACTGGTTAATCTAAACAATCAATCACGGTGTTAAATCACAAATTCTAGACAATCGGTATATAGTAGGTATCACTGAATCAAACAGCCCCATTGGCTCAACGCACCTCTCTCTTCTCGCCGGATTGGTTCTCATCATTCGCCACGGCCTCAAAGGCATCCACAGTGTCGAACAAGTGGCTTGGAGCGCAGTTTTCCGGCGAGGAAAACGTGCAAAAATTGTGGGCCAAGAATGCTTCAAGAATATTTTACCCTAATTACAGTGGTGGTCGCACAGTCTCCAGCGCTGACATGATTGAAATTTAAAAAAACATGTCTGGAGATATCCACATGTTTGTCTTTGGAACAAGACTTTCCAATGCTGCATTAAAAATGGCCATTGAGCACATTTACAATCATCTTTCGTCCTGTATGGAGGCGTATTGACTAAGCGGCTAAGCCCGTGGTAGCGATGCAATCTCAGGTTTCTTACCGTTTGACAACCCCTTTTCTGACGATCAAGACCATTTTCCACGCTTTCAGAAAGGCTCCGAGTTCAGGGGAACATTTTCTTGCTTCCAACACCGCACCAGTCGGATTGACCAAATATTTCATATTTTTTTCTGGTGAGTTTCCATGGGTCGGGACATGTTTCGTGGTTATTCTCTCCCTATCTTATTTTGGTGATTCTTTATTTTTTAAGATTGATATCAAATGTACCATTGAATCCCTACAAGGTGATGCCCTCAAGCTATAAGCTGGTCCGTGCCCGCATCTAACTGCCAGTAAACAAATCATAAATTTGATCTATATATAGTCAAGGAACAGCGGTAAGCAGTAGAAATCTGCTTACTGACGGCGCTAAAACGCATTTTCCCTACTTTTCTGACACATATCTATAAATATAAACACCTAGTAGGCAGAAAATGAAAATGTTGTACATTTGGTAAAACGAAGAATCTTCTTACTGCACCACATAAATTTTTGTCTGTACAAAACATCCTTGAAATGATGAAAACCATGACGAAAAAACATGATGGCATGTGATGAAAACTATTAAAAACAATGACGAAATAATGAAAAACTATGAAAAAATGATGACATGTGATGAAACTAATAAGAGACAATGACAAAATAATTAACAACTATATATATATATATGAAAACCATGATGAAATATGATGAAAATATGTTCAAAACATTCACCAAATAATGAAAATGATGAAAAACGTGATGAACTATGATGAAAAGGTCTTTTTCATTATTTTTCGTATGTATATGTACTGAACAAAACTGAGCCATGATGAAAAAAAACTAGAAAAAATAAAATAATATGCAGAAATAAGTGCAGCAGTAAGAATCTGCTTACTGCCCCGTTATTGAAAGAACATCAAAATCATAAAGATGATAACTAAAGGATCAATTCGATAGTGCAAAAATGAAGAAAACCCATGTAAAAATGAAGAAAATCAGCTCTTGAATCTAGGGGTTCGAAATATCAAAAAGAAACACTTTTTTTCCCCTCTTTCTTTTGGACTTAGAATGGTCCGTATGGAGTCCCTGCAGGTTTTAAAGCTCATATTTGAGTCAATTTGAGGTTCAAAATTCGATTTTCGACACCAAAAAAAAAGCAAAAACATAAACTTTCTAATGCATTTAAAGCTCTTCAAAATGAATCGCTGAATGTTTTAAACCAATTTTTGGTAACAATCTATGAATACAAATCTTACTTTTGCATCTTTACATTTTTCACTTTTTGTAGCTACTTTCCTGGTATTCCCCGTCGTTCCCATTGTGTTTCCCCGTTGTGTCTCCCCGTTGTGTTTCCCCGTTTTTGGGTCGAATACCAGGAAAGTAGCTACAAAAAGTGAAAAATGAAAAGATGCAAAAGTAAGATTTGTATTCATAGATTGTTACCAAAAATTGGTTTAAAACATTCAGCGATTCATTTTGAAGAGCTTTAAATGCATTAGAAAGTTTATGTTTTTGCTTTTTTTTTGGTGTCGAAAATCGAATTTTGAACCTCAAATTGACTCAAATATGAGCTTTAAAACCTGCAGGGACTCCATACGGACCATTCTAAGTCCAAAAGAAAGAGGGGAAAAAAAGTGTTTCTTTTTGATATTTCGAACCCCTAGATTCAAGAGCTGATTTTCTTCATTTTTACATGGGTTTTCTTCATTTTTGCACTATCGAATTGATCCTTTAGTTATCATCTTTTCCATGTGTTTTTCCATGTTTTTGATCTTATCCATGATGAGTTTCTTGGATTTTCCATGTGTTTTTGCAGGCTTTTGATCTTATCAATGATATATATATATATACTTATATATATATAAATAAACTTTATTATAACAAACACAAACAAAATAAGGTGCAGTAGTAAGCATCTGCTTACTGCATGTCATGTTGTTTGATCTTATCCATGATGAGTTTCTTGGATTTTCCAGGTGTTTTTGCAGGTTTTTGATGTTATCAATGATATGAATATATATATATATATAATTTTTATTGTAATCACAAACACAATAAGGTGCAGTAGTAAGCATCTGCTTACTGCATTTCATGTTTTTTTGATCTTATCCATGATGAGGTCCTTGGATCTTCCATGTGTTTTTTCATGTCTTTCATCTTATCCATGATGAGTTTCTTGGAATTTCCAGGTGTTTTTCCATGTTTATGATCTTATCAATAATATATATATATAGCCTTGATCACAAACACAAACAAAATAAGGTGCAGTAGTAAGCATCTGCTTTTTGCATTGACATAATATGGAAAATGTAGAAAAATGAAGCAAACCTGAAAAACAAAAAAAAGAAGAACATCATGATTCATGTCATCATGATCGATAAGATTGAAAATCGTTGAGGGAACGCCTGAAAAAAAACAAAATGCACTCTTTCTTGCGTGATCAAGACCCAGATTCGCAGTGTAACAAAAACACGCGCCAAATAAACCGGGGAAAAAAACAGTCTTGTTCACCACAGGTGGTAAGCAGAAATCGGCATCATCAGGCATTCATCAGGTATTGAGATGTGGTAAGCAGAAGGGGTGGCTGAATTTCTTGGATTTCCCCCATCTGCTTAATTTCTTGGTGCGTACCATCTCTGCCTACCGGTGTTCCTTGACTATAATAATATCTATTAAGGTTGGTTTACTCATAGTTGGATGGTTGGTTTACCATAGCTATTAGGTAAATCAACCATACTAAACCTAGAATAACCTAGATTGCTTGGGCCAAGGTGACCTATTTAAGCCCCCAGCCCGTTGAGCCCAAGGGTCGGTGTAGCGCTTGGATAAGGCGTCTGATGTGGCAGCGCCCCAGGTCTGCCGAGCCTCGATGGAAACAACAACGAAAACGGGATGGGAAAGGGAATTAAATGAACATCCAAGAACTATGAGATCAAATCGAGTTAGTTGAACCAACTAACATTCAATTTTGACTATAGTTAAAACATGTTAAAACCGTGTTTTGCCAAAGCAATCCTTAAGGTCAAATGAATAGCTGCTATTCAAGCCAAAATGATACCATTTACCGAGACTGCTGGGATGAGAACGAAGATTTGGAAGACTCGATGGCCGTGACCATTTTTAGGGCTACAGGTCAAAACATTCTTGGTATTGGTCCAATTTGAACCACTACCAACTCCTGGTAATGGGAACAGCTAAAAAGAAAGAAGATGACTGTGTGGTAATGTATCCCCTGTGTGGTTTTAGACATTGGAATCACCATCCCAAACAAAAGAAAACCACATGATTTACGTCCAGTGATCCCCACCAACTCAGGTGTATTTCGGCACTGTGTCTGACATGTATTTTGACAATCTACCCGACATATGTTCCGACATTTCATCTACCATATATTGACTTTATCTGGCGTTTTCTCTGACATGATGATTGGCATCCTGTCTGACATTTTATGTGGCGTACTGGGTCCGGCGGCCCCAGAGAACCTGCGAGCTTGCCATTTCTACGAGCTGGCGAGAGGGTCCGCAAGCTATCTTAAAATCTAGAGACCTTCACCTGGCAGGTGGAGAACTAGAAGTGGAACAACCGATGAAGACTTAGGGTTGGGTGGATGTATCACTATTTTGTATGTCTTCCATTCTTCACTTATTGGTGGCTCATTGCCGGCCTTCATAGTTGGAGCAAGAAAGACAGCGGATGGCATGGTATGTGTATAAGAAATCCATCACTGCAACAAAAATGTGTACAGTGTACAACTTGGTGGTTCATTGTAGGTGTGCTGTTGGCCATGTGAATTTGACAGGCCAAACAAAATTGACTCAAGCAGGAGGTGACAACAAAACAAAGAGGTTTGGGCACCGCGACCAACGCAATGGTTGAAATCTGAAGGAAGCAAAACATATCATATCATATCATACCTGATATTCATGAATCAAACATCAGATATGTGGCTGAGCCAAACCCTGATGTTTACCTTGCGTCCCTCCTGTTCGTTGAGCCATTGATTCTTTGGGGTTTGATTTCTGGGATGACCAAGCGACCATTTCCCAAATGCCGCCGAGGGCACTGGGTTCGCTGCGTCCTCTGCCTGACGGCGCCAGGTTCATTGCGTTACACTGTTGGGGTAGCGGATCTGTGTTGACCCTGATGACCCTGACATTGCATGACCAGCGCTGAATGCCTTAAATTCACAAATTTCTTATATTTAAAAAAAATAACTGTTTCAAGAAAAACACTACTGAAACACAAGACATTGCGATGGGGATACTTACCATCAAAAACTGGAAGTCCACAAGCCAACAGATCCAGCAATACAACGGGTCCCCTGGTCAAATCCAAAATTGTTTCTAAAACAACATATTCTGCACAGGTTCCTTGTCCATTCCACGGCGTGTTTGATACATAGTTGAACCAAATACAATACATGACATATTGGAGTTTCCTAAGTCATGGGGGCACCCCAAATCATCCTTAAATTACCAGATCAGTTTGTTATTGAAACCAGTGGTGACGACTGGGGATTCCCCATGACTTAGGAATACCCCATATACAGGAAAATCACACGGATCAGTGACCAGTAAATCATACTGCCTCACATCCATCATGACAGGAAAATCTTGGTCTCCATGCATTTCTTCGGTGGTCCCCCGGATGTCCGCCTTCGTATACTTCGAAGGATCTGTGGTCGACTGAGGCCTCACATGGATCTGGTGGCTACACATTCTCTCAGCAAAAACTTCTGCTGGAAATCTTGACATGGGATACTGCTATCGAATATGGAACAAGAATTAAAGGACCGGATAACCCCACAAGTCAACTTCTTCCAATAATGGAGCACCAAATGTTGTAGCGGGAACGGGGAAGGAAGGAAACACAAAGGAGGTGGTGAAGGATCGAAAAGTCAAAACAGTTGTGTGTGACAAAGTGAAATGTGAAAGATGGTGTGTGACAACGCAAGATGGTGTGTGAAAAGAAAGTATGTACGTGCGTACGTACATATGTATGTATGTATGTATGTATGCATGCATGTATGTGTCTGTCTGTCTGTCTGGCTGGCTGGCTGGCTGTCCGTCTGTCTGTCTGTGTGTGTGTATGTATGTATGTATGTATGTATGTATGTATGTATGTATGTATGTATGTATGTATGTATGTATGTATGTATGTATGTATGTATGTGTGTGTGTGTATGTATGTATCTGTCTGTCTGTCTGTATGTATGTCTGTATGATTCTGTATGTATGTATGCATGCACGCATGTATGTATGGGGCAGAAAGCAAGTGGCAGTAACCAAGTCCCAATTCTGCCACGCAGAACGTCTCCAAGTGCCACGCCTGCCACGAAAAATGAAGGTGATTGTAACCAGTGCCACTCCTGCCATGCGAAACGCAAGTGGATGTTTCCAAGTGCCACGCTTGCCACGAAAAACGAAGGTGGATGTGACCAAGTGCAACTCCTGCCACGCGAAACGAAGGTGGATGTTTCCAAGTGCCACGCCTGCCACGCAAAACCAAGGTGGATGCCGCCAAGTGCCACGCCTGCCACGTAAAAAGAAGGTGGATGCCGCCAAGTGCCACGCCTGCCACGCACCGGCGACCAAAACGTGCCCAAGCGCGCCACCAGAGCCAGCCCAGGCCACGCAAAGGGGAGGTTCATGTCGCCAAGTGCCACGCCTGCCACGTGAAACGAAGGTGGATGCCGCCAATTACCCCTGCCACGCAAAGCGCAGCGGCGTCACCGGCAACCAAAACGTGCCCAAGCGCGCCACCAGAGCCAGCCCAGTGCCATTAGTGCCACGCCTGCCACGCAAAGGGGAGGTTCATGTCGCCAAGTGCCACGCCTGCCACGTGAAACGAAGGTGGATGCGGCCAAGTGCCACACCTGCCGCGCAAAGTGCCGCGGCGTCACCGGCGACCAAAACGGGCCCAAGCGCGCCACCAGAGCCAGCCCAGTGCCATAAGTGCCACGCCTGCCACGCAAAGTGGAAGTGGATGTCGCCAAGTGCCACGCCTGCCACGTGAAACGAAGAAGATGTGTGTGAAAGATGGTGGTTGACAAAGATGGTTGACAAAGATGATGTGTGAAAGATGGTGTGTAAAAGATGGTGTGTGACAGATGGTGTGTGAAAAATGGTGGTTGACAAAGATGTGTGTGAGAGATGGTGTGTGAGAGATGGTGTGTGAAAGATGTGAAAGATGGTGTGTAAAATATGGTGTGTGAAAGATGGTGTGTGAAAAATGGTGGTTGACAAAGATGTGTGTGAGAGATGGTGTGTGAGAGATGGTGTGTGAAAAATGGTGTGTGAAAGATGGTGGTTGACAAAGATGTGTGTGTGTGTGACAAAGTTGTGTGTGAAAAATAGTGTGTGACAAGTAACATATGAAAGATTGTTGGAAGGAGGCGGGGCGGGAGGCGGTGGAGGCGGAGGCCCGGGATAGAGAATCGAAAGCAAGAATCCCACGCAAAGTTGTGGGGAACAAAAAACATCAGTCATATCTTCCAGCACTAATCAGATTGACTTTTCTGAGGAAAACCATCCATAGTCGGAACAGTTGAAAATACACTACACATTACTTGATGCAGAATGGAGCCAACCAGCACACGTGGACAAAACATAATTCTGACCAAACAACGTCTGGCCTTGACTTGGCAGGGTCTGTCTTCTTCGATCAATCGCTATGCGTCAAGTGGTTTTTACTACAGCCTAAAGCTTTTGACAGGGTCGCAGGGACATGGTAAAACCGAAGGTTTCGCGTTTTTTTATTGTTCGGCGCCGACCTTTCCCCACACGAAAGACAATCCTCCAAAACAAAACCGTAAATCTCTTCATTTTGGCATGTTCGGGCCCAACAAAGGGGTTGCTTTGAATCACAGAATGGGATTTTAAAGCATGGTCAGCTTTCGATTGGCTTTACATAGAAGGTTCATATTTGGTTGGATATGATATCCCCCCCATCTATTGCAGGGGGTGTCCATCACAAACCAACCACAACAGGCTTCTCACTTTAAACCCAAGGTTGTTACACAATTGTGCCTTCCTTGCAGTGGCTTGCACCCCAATGGAATCAATTTCCACCTGCCGGTTTGGATCCAGGCTACCTTGAAGCTTCCTCAGCCAGCAAGTACTACGCAACAAAAAAACAATGTTGCAGGTATACTTCTACCATTTTATCCCGGCGGAATCTTTTTGGAACATGATAGTTCCATTAGTTTCCCTACTATGGGTTATCATTTGATCCAATAGATCAATAAATATCAAAAACAATGGCAAATATAATCTCCTGTGATAACCAAGCATATAGGATATCTTTAATAATTTTTCTTTCCTGGTTGAACCCCCATTGAGGCCGAGGAGCATCGGCATCGGCAACATGCTGCCGTGGCCGTTGCCTCCCGCGCCGCAGCGCCGGGCAACGGCAAGGTCCTAGTGGAGCAGCCATCAAACCATTTTAATATTGAAACCCATGGTCACTTGTGGTTCCCCCAGTTTAAGAACCCCCGAGTTGTTTGTTCTAACTGGGCACATTCGTTTGCAGATGCGCGCAGCCAGCACAACGGTTTTAGTTTTCAAACTGGTTTTCGTCCAACCAATTTGTGAGATCTGTTTTGTGATTGCAAGGAGTGCCAGCTATAGAAACAAGATTCAACAGGGTCTCCAACGTAAATTGAGCCAGGGCGACAACAAGTTTCGCGGTTGTGGCTGTCTCTCTGTGATAGTGATTGTGACGGTGATTGTTGTTATTCTTGTTGAAGGTGATGGGATGTTGATGTTGATGTTGGTGGCGTTGGCGTTGGCGTTGGAGTTGGTGCTTGAGGTGTTGTTGTTTCTTTGGTGGATAGCGACATCATGAGAAAAATACTTACGCAGTTGCACAATGCTTTTTTCGACCAAAATCAAAAACGAAAGCATAAAGATCATGGTCAAACCTAGTGATGTAAGTATACTACCTGTGAGCAGGTAGATGACGGTAAATGTATGTGAACAAGTCAAGCGTCCAATAGGACCCACGCACTGGAATGCAAATCACGGGCTGAAAGGAAATGCTGCTGCAAACTCCATCAGGTTGGAGCATTATTGTCAGACTCTCCTTTAAGCACACTCTTCAAGTCAAGCGCGCTCTGGCGGACACTCTTGTAATTCAGTCATTGAAGACACTCCTTTGAAACACTGTTGCAAAACTTTTTTTAAAGACACGTCTGTTTGGGCACTCTTGTGTGACACGCTTGGGAACAACAGGCTGCACTCCTTTTAAGGGACGCTCCAGCTGTTGGGCAGCCGTGTCAGAGCTTCAGGGCATTTGCTAAAAGAACATTTGTCGCCAACTCTTCCCTGCGCCTAGAAACTTCCAACTGGTCTGAAGTAACCCATACCAAAAACAAGGTTTGCACACAGACAAAATGGCTCGGTTGCGTCCCAAAAATGGCACCCCATACCAATAAAGCTCCTATCTGATTGCATCTTCTTGCACCCAAATCACCAGACTTCTGCGATTCTTTTGCCTGTTTCCTCCATCCCTCTGTCCTCTTCACACCGTGGCCGCCGCTTCTCGCGGTTGAGTCCCGCCCCATGTCTGTAGCCAAATCAGGGCGGCCAAGAACTTCGCCATTACGAAAAGCGATACCAACAGTATTATTTGGTCCTTGAAACGTGACCTACAGCAAATACAGCATGAGCTGTCATGTCGCACCCACTACATGCCCTAAGGTAAATTCACATAGATGTGGAACATAGATGAAAATCGCACATTTATGGATGAATTACCTTTGAAAGTATAGATTCTCCACATCAATGTTAGTTTGTCCCATGCAGGGTTTTAAAAATATGTAACCCGGGCAGCACACCATTTGGCAGCCTGAAGATTATTGCCCAGTGAGTTCGAACCATTTATTACAAGCTGCCCATTGCTTGACAGGTTGCCCAACTCTGGGCGTTGGCGTCCTCGTACCTTGTCATGGTCAATCTCTGGTAACTCGCTAAAAATCCAACAAATAGACTTATAAACTGTTGCTGGTTATTGTTATTTTCCAATCCTTTCCCTGTATAGCAAAGCCTAAAGGATCAAATTACATCAAATTACCTATCCAGGGTTGAGGATGCTGTAGAAAAGTGAATACGAGGTACAACGACACTTAGAGTTGGACATCCCGTCAAGCAACTGGACTGTGGCCTGGCCATTCCGCAGCAATGCATGACAACTGATTTAGCAAACCGGCCCTGTCACCATCCGCAGGGATTTCCCCAGGTTGACCTCTGCATCCCCAAGCAGTGGGCATGCGCCGCTCCCTTTTCCTCTCTATCAGCGCTGTGAATTGTGAGACGACTCAGTCATTCAAACAAAGGCCAGAGCACGGTAAAAGCCTGGACCAGACTCGCCATTGGAGAGATCATCATGGAAGGTGCCTCCAATGATGTTTGTTGGTTTACAACCCCCCTTAGCTGTTTCATTAACTGTAAATATCTCAAAATATATGAGTGGCGCGAAAAATTACTTCCTACTCGCACTGGACATGGCCAAAGTGGGGGTCCCCAAACGGCTGAACGGTTGTGAAGGTTTTAACACAAATTTGAACATCCCAAGTCCACTCCCTACTACTTTAGTCTTGAGCTAATTTTGTCGATTACTCATATGTATATATAACAAACCCATATTATTGGACTTATAAACCACTTTGAAGAAATCTGTCAATCCACCAACCAGGCTACGAATTGGGATCCCGTTTGCAAAGCAACCCTGAGGCTCTGTGACCACACAGAAGGAAAAAACGGCAATGTACCTAAAATACAGGGTCATCTCCGTCAAATCCCAGATTCATCCCCCTTGAAATTCGCCCCGAGAGGTTGGGCCTACCAAAGTGTAGGGTGCCCAGCCTACCCCCTACAAAATGGTATGGGGACACCTACAAAATGGTAGCACCCATGGGGGTTGCTGCCTACAAAATGGTGGCCCCAGGGTACCCCACCTGCCCACCAACATCAAGTATTTTTGGTTAACATAGTGTCCAAAAAACTGTGAAAAATGGGAGAACCATTTTGTAAGACACAAAGCAACCCTGTGGTCGCACCCTGGTCTTTTTTGGGCGACCATTTTGTAGACAGTTTACTCTGAATGAAATTTATTCTTAAAATCGCTCAAGCAATCCTTGCATATCTCAAATTTTTGCATCTTGTGCATCTGGCAATCGGGTTTCATAAAGTATCGTCCAACAGAAGTAGTCAGATAATGTCAGATAGACTGGACCGAAGTAGTGGTCATCTTTTTTTTCTGGACCGGGGCTGGTTTCAAAATTTTGGAGGCTTTGAAAACTTTGCGATCATCTCCACCACAAAATCCACATGGTCGGTTGATATTTTTTGTGTTCAAATATATTTACATTTGTGGATGTATTTATCAACTCCCCTTACCCATCTACAAAATGGCATTCCAAATCTTGTACAAAATGGAGGTGCCTGACACTGACATATGATCTTGTTCTCATATAAAGTGATGTTGGGTGTGTATAAACAGGTCTCTTTCTACAAAATGGAGTGCCCCGACGGCAAAAAAAAACAATAAAATCTGATTTATAGGGGGCCCAAGGCCTACCATTTTAAATGGGAAATGTCAACGGGGATCCAGATTCAAGGTAATTTGTCGGATTTGTGGGGTTTGAGGGTTTGATCTGATAATATCAATGCCATGTCTGTTCGACAAACATGTTATAGTTGTTTTTTCAGACATCGCCGTGCCAAATCGGACCAGTACTTCATCATTAACCTATTTCATCAACAAGATTACAGTTTCGGGTCCATGGAATAGATACTGACTACATCTGACTAACTTATCGAAGGAAGTTTAGAAGTCAAACTTCCGACAGTATGGACAGATGAAAAGCAGAGCAGGGAAGAGGCAGAGAGAAGAGAAAATTTACAAGAAAGAAGAGTAGAAGAGAAAGAGTAAGAAGAAAGACGATGCAGATGCGAGAAAAGGTAAGAAAGTCGCGAAACACTGCGTTTTTCCAATGATTTGGGGCTCCGGAGGGTCGAAAAGTAGGCTCGCTAAAGCGGCGGGTGCGGAGCCAGCTGGCCAGATGAGAGATGAAGAATTGCACGCCGTTGTGGCGCGAAGCACATTTGCAAGTCAAAATGTACAAAACACCTCAGCGTCGGAACACTTTTGGAAGTTGCCATGTCGAAAAAGTGCACGCCGCTGTGGAGCGAGGCACATTTCCAAGTCAAAATGTACAAAACACACCACGTTTGGACCACTTTTGGAAGTTGAGATGTCGAAAAAGTGCACACCGTTGTGGCGCGAAGCACATTTCCACGTCAAAATGTACAAAACACACCACGTTCGGACCACTTTTGGAAGTTGAGATGTCGAAAAAGTGCACGCCGTTGTGGCGCGAAGCACATTTCCACGTCAAAATGTACAAAACACTCGGGGTTCGGACCACTTTTGGAGGTTCAGATGTCGAAAAAGTGCACGCCGTTGTGGCGCGAAGCACATTTCGAAGTCAAAATGTTAAAAGCACCAGGGTTTCGGACCACTTTTGGAGGTTCAGATGTCGCTTCGCTTCGCTTCACTACACTACATTACACTACACTACACTCCACTACACTACACTCCACTACACTACATTTCTAGCTCCAAGTTACCCAAATTCAGAAAATGTACATATACTATGAATCCATCGTACTCCAGACCTGTCTCTTTGGACCCACTGTTTTCCCAACCTGTTTCCCTGTGTGTGACATGTTTCACACCTGTGAAATGACTGGTTGCGATGGGAAGACCTTTCAGCTCAATTTGGAAATTGTTTGGCACCATGTCGATGCCTTGTGTTGTTCCTGAAATGCTATGGAGCCTGGATGAGCTAAAGCGTGTCCTGATAAGTGAGTTTCCCATTTTGGAGACTGAAGAAGGAGAGGGTTTCAAAATATTGTTTGACTTGTTTGTTGAGTGGGCTGAAATCCTGTTAAATTACAACAACCAGCATCCGCTCGCTCTGTTGAATTTGGGGAATTGTGGCCCAGAATCCTTCTCTCAGGGGATTTCCGGCCGCGCATACTCATGTCGCATCGCACTCGAGGGGTGTCATCGCACCACAGGGGACCCCATCGCACTCCACACACCTACTCACAGATCATCGTACTCCACAAAAGGGATCGTACACCAGAAAAACTTGCGCAGACAGCCAAAAACATTTTTTTTCGAAAAATTGACCTGAAGAGTTTTTTTTTCCTCTTCGGAGGTAAAATGCTCTGGAATCTGATAATATGGAATATGGGGGAAATTGTTGTTTTTCCAGCGTTTTGAGCAGTCGCGCATACAATCGCATTCCATGAAATTTTGATACTTTTGACCTGTGGAGGCTATGGAAATTCTCGATTGTTGTCTTAGTCGTGCGCGATAGAGTGTGATGCCTTGTGGGTATGTGGAATGGAATTTGCAGCCTCGATTTGGTCAAAAATGATATTAACATATGCCTGAGAAGCCCACATGCAGGAACGGCAACGCATACGGGGGGGGCATCGTACTCCAGGGGTGGCATCCTACTCAATGTAACTGTATTAAGTGGAAATATGGTACCATTTGGGTTCGAGGAAGAACAGCGTAATCCAGACTTGGCCCCGTTTACAGATGCGGAAGCTGAGCCACCAGCCAAACGCGTCAAAAAATAAGCTGAACAGCTTATCCAATGGTCTTAAAAGATCCTAGAGAGAAGTTGATGATTGATGAGAGAAACAAGACTTTATGATTATGTTTATTCAAGAAATCATTGCTTGAGAAGGTTCTCAGCGGGGTTAAACATGTGCGATTGGACATGACAGCACGTGACAAGGGAGCGCCTGACAAGGGTCACACAACCTTATTCTCATCATCAAAGGTCGTTCATTATTTTCCAAATTTCCGGAGCTATTTTGGCATGGAATATGAACAGCCTTGGAATATGGGTAAGGTTTTGCTAGAACATTACACTACACTACAACTACAACTACACAACTACACTCCACTACATTCCACTACACTACATTCCACTACACTAAATTACACTACACTACATTACACTACACTACACTCCGCTACACTACACTAAATTACACTACACTATACTACCTTCCACTACACTTCACTACGTTACACTACACTACACTCCACTGCACTACAAATACAACTACGACTACACAACTACACTCCGCTACACTCCACTAAATTACACTACACTACACTACATTCCACTACACTACACTACATTCCACTACACTCCACTACACTACACTACATTACACTGAATGACGCTTCACCACAGATAGACAGGTAGACAGATAGACAGACAGACAGACAGATAGATAGATAGATAGATAGACCGATAGACAGATAAACAGATAGACAGATGAAAGAGAGAGAGAGAGAAAGAGAGAGAGAGAGAGAGAGATAGAGAGAGAGAGAGAGAGAGATAGATAGATAGATAGGAAATTAGATGAAAGAAAGAGAGAGAGAGAGAGATCGATAGATAGATAGATAGATAGATAGGTAATTAGATGAAAGAGAGTGAGAGAGAGAGAGAGAGAAAGAGAGGAGACCTCAAGCACCTTTCGGTCCATCAGTGGCTTCGCTCTGCCATC